GCTTCCTTCTCCCTCCTCCTTCTCCTTCCCCCTCCTCCTCCTGCTCCTCCTCCTCCTCCTGCTCCTCCTCCCCCTCCCTCCTCTTCATCTTCCTCCTCGTCCTCCCTCCTCCCTCATCCTCCTCTTCATGTTCCTTCTCGTCCTCCCTCCTCCCTCATCCTCCCTCCTCCTGCTTGTCCTTCTCCATGTCCCTCCTCCTCCTCCTCCTCCTCTTCCTCCTCCTCCTCCTCCTCCTCCTCCTCTCCTCCTCCTCCCCCTCCCCTCCTCCTCCTCCCTGTTCTCGCTCCCTCCCTGCTCCTCCTCCTCCTCCTCCTCCTCCTCCCCATCCCCCTCCTCCTCCTCCTCCTCCTGCCGTCAGGCCGAGGCAATTTTCAAATGCCTCGCCACCGCGGATAAGCGGTGCTGCCTGGGTTCCGTGTGGCACCGCCTGAATGCGGTGTGGGTCCGATGATGTCAGATCCTTATCCCGCCCGCGTTCCGGGTGCGATAAGGATAGGGCGGAGGGCGGCACCTCCCGCTGGGAGGTTCGTGGTCGTTCGTTGTCGTCCTTCGTGTCTCGTTTCGTCGTCATGTCCGTCGCCCTTTTCCTTTTTGGGAGTTGCGGCACGGCCCTGGATTAGGTTCCAGGGTGGACGTTGTTTGCGCTCCTGGGCCGGAGAGTGGCCCCCTCCCCCTCCCCCTCCCTGCTGCCGCTGCTGTTGCCGTTGCAGCTGTCAGGCCAGGGCTTTTAGTGCCCTGCCACCTCGGCCAAGAGGTGCGGCCTGGGCGCGGGAAGACCCCAGTGGCACCTCCTGGTCTGAGGTGTACCGCCGTTTGACGACCACGGAGGCGGGGCCCGCGGCTTTCCGCCTGTAACCTCTTGGTTGCAGTGCTCTTTGCCGCGGGCGCACTGTTGCCGTGCTTGCGAGGGTGCGGGCGCTGGGCAACGCTCCGTGTATTGTCCCTTGGGCGCCGATCCCGAACCCCCGTGCGCCATTTTGGCGTGGGGTGTAGGGCGGTCCTTGGTTTGCTTTCTTTTCCTTGATTTCCTCCCTAAGGCACAGCGTTTCTGGCGCTATTGGGAGTTAGTCAAGGAAAGGAGGCCGGAGGTCAGGTCCCAGCTTGTGTCCGTGATCCCCTCTTTTTGCGCGTGTGCCCTTGGTGTTGGCCGTTGGCCACTTTGGCCGTTGGCCAGGGCACGTTGGCCCGCGCTTTGCTGAGCGCCACGGTTTTGTTCTGCCTTTTGGGCCTGCAACATCCTCCTCCTCCTCCATGCTTTTCTTTCTACGCTGTCCTCCTCCTCCTCCTCCTCCTCCTCCTCCTCCTCCTCCTCCTCCATTCTTTCTCCTTCTATATCACTTCTCCATGTCGCACCCCGAGGCGAATTTTTAGGGCGAGCTGGGCATTTCGCCTGAGATTTCCCTCACCACTTATGACTCTGAAGCTTAAACAATGACAACAGTCTCACATATGGAGGGCGGGTGGTTTTCAAAATCTGGCTCTCGCCTTAGCGCCGCGCACATTCGTTTTCAACACTTGCAGGAGTCTCACGGATTGAGGGCGGGTCGTTTTCAAAATGTGGCTCTCGCCTTAGCGCCGCGGACATTCGTTTTCAACATTTGCAAGAGTTTCGCGGATTGAGGGCGGTTCCTTTCCAAAATGTGGCTTTTCGTTTTGGCGCCGCGCACATCCGTTGTCAACATTTGAAAGGGAATGTTCTACCGCTGCTGGCGGAAAACCAGGGGGGGGGGTCACTGGGGGTTCCCAACCCAGTCCATGATGAAAAGGGGGGGGGTCACTACCGGTTCGACCCCCCATCCCTCTTCTCGAAAACCGGGGGGGGGTCACTACCGGTTCGAGGCCCCCCCCCCCCTCGCCGCTGGCAAACGATTCCCGCTCCTCGGGACAGTTGGACAATGGTGGGGATGCTGGGACAGTGGTGGGAACGGTGGTAGTGGGGACAGTGGTGCGGGGACAGTGGGACAGTGGTGGGGACAGTGGGACAGTGGTGGGGACGGTAGTGGTGGGGACAGTGGCGAAGGCGGTGGTGAGGACAGTGGTGGGACAGTAGTACAGTGGGGAAAGTGGTGGGGACAGTGTGGACGGTGGGACAGTGATGGGGACAGTGGGGACGGTGAGACAGCACAGTGGGACAGCGGCGGGGACTGGGACAGTGGTGGGTACAGTGGGGACAGTGGGACAGTGGTGGGGACCGTGGGGAGAGACAGTGGGAATGTGGTGGAAACAGTGGGAGAGTGGAGAGTACAGTGGTGGTGGGGACAGTGGTGAGAGCGGTGGCGAGGACGGCGGTGGGATAATGGGACAGGGGTACAGTGGGGACAGTGGGGGGACAGTGGGGACAGTGGTGGGAACACTGGGACAGCTCAGTGGGACAGTGGCGGGGACAGTGGGACAGTAGGGACAGTGGGACAGAGGTAAGTTGGGGCCGTGGAGAAAGTGGGGAGAATGGAACCGTGGTGGGAACAGTGGTGGGGACAGTGGGGACAGTGCGACAGTGGTGGGGGTACTGGTGGGGACAGTGGGGACGGTGGTGGAAACAGCCGGGGGCAGTGGTGGTGAGGACAGTGGTGCTAGGGACAGCAGTGGGGGATGTGGTGCGGACGGTGGTAGGGACACGGGAGTCGTTTGCTGGCGGTGAGCGTGGCGGGGGGGGGTTCGAACCGGTAGTGACCCCTCCCGGTTTTCTAGGGGTGGGTGGGGGGGTTCGAACCGGTAGTGACCCCCGCCGGTTTTCGAGGGGGGGGGGGGTTCGAACCAGTAGTGACCCCCTCGGTTTTCCGGAGGGGGGTGGGGTGGGGGTGGGGTTCGATCCGGTAGTGACCTTTCCTGGTTTTCGAGGCGGGGGGGGGGTCGAACCGGTAGTGACCCCCCTGGTCGTGACCCCCATATGGTTTTCTGAGGGGGGGGGGAGGGGTTCGAACCGTGACCCCCCCCCGGTTTTTCGGAGGGGGGGTTCGAACTGTTAGTACGCCCCCCAATTTTCTGGAGGGGGGGGGTTAGGGGAGGGGGGGGTTTTGCCGGGGACAGGGGGGGGTGGTTCCAGCACGGGGGGGATTTTCGGAGGGGGGGGGGGACCCACGGGTTCCAGAGGGAAAGGGGGAGGGAATTTTCCACAGTAAAGCGGCGGTGGATCACGCTCTCTCCAACATTTGCAAGAGTTTCACGGATTCCCATGATCAGCGTACCAGAAATTGTGTTTTGGAAGGAGTCAGGATTAGGCGGGTGCAACAGTTATGTAGATTCGCGGTGATGAAGTCTCCAGAACTGCTTTCTGGCAAGATTCCAGATCGTCAAAACGCAGCAGTCAGCTTGATACGTGGCGTTGGAGTCCCGAGAACAATGTTGTGGCATGTTTCAGTTTTTTTCAAACGGTAGTCTTCCAACGAGGCAGTTCTTGTTGATGACTCTTGGGTTTACACTGGTCCTCCTCCTCCTCCTCCTCCTCCGCCTGCTCCTCTCTCCTCCCCTCCTCCTCTTCATCTTCCTCCTCGTCCTCCCTCCTCCTCCCTCCTCCTCCCTCCTCCTGCTCCTCCTCCACCTCCCTCCTCCTCCTCCTCCTCCTCCTCCTCCTCCTCCTCCTCCTCCTACCCCTCCTCCTCCCCGTTCTCGTCCTCCCTCCCTCCCCCTCCTCCTCCTCCTTCTCCTTCTCCTCCCCATCCCCCTCCTCCTCCTTCTCCTCCTCCTTGCTTTTCTTTCTACGCTGTACTTCTCCTCCTCCTCCTCCTTCTCCTCCTCGTTAACTCCTCCGTGTTGTACCCCCAGACGTGTTGGTAGGGCGGGCCTGGCGTTTCGTTTGAGGCTTCTTCACCGCTTATGTTCCTTAAGCATGCAATTTGCAACATTTTTACGGATGGAGGGCGGGTCGCTTTCAAACTGAGGCTCTCGCCTGAGCGCCGTGCACATTCGTTCTGAACAAATTGCAAGAGTCTCAATGATTGACAGCCAGCCGTTTTCAAACTGTGTCTCTCGCTTGAGCGCCGCGCACATTCGTTTTAAATTTTAGCATGGGTGTCGCGGATGAAGGGCGGGCCGCTTTCAAAATGAGGCTCTCGCCATAGCGTTGCGCACATTCGTCTTCAACAGTTGCAGGAGTTTCACGGATTGAGGGCGGTTCCTTTTCAAAATGCGGCTCTCGCTTTAGCGCCGCGCACATTCGATTTTTATAAGCATCTGCAATAGTTTCACGGATGGAAGGCGGTTCCTTTTCAAACTGTGACTCTCGGCTTAGCGCCGCCGCGCACACCCGCTCTAAACAGATGCAAGAGTTTCAACGATTATCATAGTTGACGTCCCAGAAATCGTGTTTAAGGGCGATGTAGGACTGTCAGGGCGCAACAGTTCCTGTGTTTCGCGGTGTTGAAGTCCCAGGAATGGTGTTCTGGTTCGACTCAGGATCATCAAGACGCAACAGTGAGGGTGATTCGTAGCTCTGGCACTGTTCAGGATTTTGAAGCCGGGTTGTCTTCCGACGGGGATTTTCTTTCAGTGGAACTAAATCTTTGTAGGGGCCTATGAAAAAGTGAGCCTGGAGGGAAGGTTTGCTGCAACATCGTTGGAGAGTCTTGGATTTGTACTGGTCCTCCTCCCCCCTCCGGGTGGCCTCCTCCCTCCAGGGGGCGCGCGCGGCAGACGATGTGCTCACGGGAACCACCCAGACCTCGCGCAGGGGGAACAAAAACGTGGTGACTGTGCATGCCTTGCGCAGTATTCACTTGTCGTTGATCCTCCCTCCTCCTCCTCCTCCTCCTCCTCCTCCTCCTCCTCCTCCTCCTCCTCCTCCCTCCTCCTCCTCCTCCTCCCTCCTCCCCCCCCTTCCCCCCCTTTCCCCTCCCCCCCTCCTCCCTCCTCCCTTCTCCTCCCTCCTTCCTCCTCCCTCTCCCTCCTTTCTCTCCTCTTCCCTCTTCCTCCTCCTCCGCCTCGTTCTCTTTCTCCTCCTCCTTCTCTTCCCTCCTTTCTTCCTCTCCCTCCCCCCCGCACCCCCCCCCTTCGGCGCGTCGCGCGGAGGCAACCGCGGCGCAGGTGTTCGACCAGTGCGGCCTTTCGAGCAGCACGCTGGGCATCGTCGCCGAGATGTACCTCCGGCTCGGGGCGTCGCTGCTGCACGGTGCCGAGGCCGAGGCGGCGGGCGGGGCGTCGTTCCTGCACAGCGCCGAGGCCGAGGCTCAGGGGAGGGGAAGGCTGCCGATGCCGCTGCTCGTCCTGGAGGGCCCTCGTCGCCACGGCCGGACCCAGGCATCCGGCGTCTCGAGGAACTCGAGGCGGAGGTTTTTCATCGTTTTCGGCCTCTCGGTGCCCTTGCCGGGCCTCGGGACCGTCGAAAAACGGCTCGGGATGAGAAGCCGGTCCTGGGGAAGCGGTCGACTCAGGTCGGGGGCCCGTGCCTCGAAAAAATCGAGGCGCGGGATGTCGGGGGATTTTCTCCTCGAGATTTTCGGGTCGGAGTGCACCCCAGGAGATGTCCGGGGAGTGGCACCGCTTTTGCCACCCAGAGGCGGAGCGCGGGGCCGACGAGGCGGCGAAGGGAGCGTCGTCCCTGCACAGCGCCGAGGCCGAGGCTCGGGGGAGGGGAAGCTGCCGATGCCGCTGCTCATCCCAGGGAGCACTCGTCGCCACGGCCGCATTCTCCTCGAGATTCGGGTCAGAATGCGCCCCGGAAGAGGTCCAGGGAGTGGCGGTATCGGCGCCGCTTCGTCCCGCCGCGAAGGCGGAGCGCGGGGCGGAGGAGGCGGAGGACGTGACGCGGCACCTTTCGGAGGAGCAAGGGCTTTCGCGGTTCGGTCGGTTCGGTTGCGCCGCAGTCGGTTGCGTTCGGTGGGTTGGGTTCGGTCGGTTGCTATTCGCTATTCGAGTAGTTGGGGGATCGACTACAGAAATGATTCTATAGGCGTACGCCACATCCGCCGACCCCTTTGTTCGAAAAGCGTTGTGGTTTCTCTGGGGTCGCATGCAGTGTCGGCACCGTTCTCCTGCAATGTTGCGTGCAGCGTGTGGTCGTGAGGAGGAGGAAGAGGAGAAGGAGAAGTAGGAGGAGGAGGAGGAGGAGGAGGAGGAGGAGGAGGAGGAGGAGGAGGAGGAGGAGGAGGAGGTGATCGCAGGGATCTCTTGGGGGGCTTCTCGCGGGACTCTTGGAGGCAGTTTCGAAGCCTCTTGGGGGCGTTTTGGGGCCGTTTGGGGCCCTCTTGGGGGCTTTTTGGGGCTTCTTAGGGGCGTCTTGGGGGCCTCTTGGGGCCTCTTGGGGCCTTCTTGGGCCGTCTTGGGGCGGACGGCTCGGATTGTCGGTTCAAGATCCCCCTCCTGGGCCCCTCTTGGGGCCGTCTTGGGGCCCTCTTGGGCCGTCTTGGGGGCCTCTTGGGCCGTCTTGGCGCCCTCTTGGGCCGACTTGGGCGCCTCTTGGGGGCCTCTTGGGCCGTCTTGGGGCGGTCTTGGGGTGCTCTTGGCCCGTCTTCAGCGCCGTAAAGGCCGACAAGTCGTATATGATGAGCATGTACGTTTTCCCATAGGAATGTGATGATTTTCGGCTCTTCGGCCTTTCTGAGGACTGTTCTTGGAGGCCTCGTGGGCCGTCTTGGAGGCCTCTTGGCTCGTCTTGGGGCCATCTTGGGCGTCTTGGAGCGCTCGTTTGGGCCGTCTTGGGGCGGAAGGCTCGGATTGTCGGTTCAAGCTCCCCCTCTTGGGCCCCTCTTGGGGCCGTCTTGGGGCCCTCTTGGGCCGTCTTGGGGGCCTCTTGGGCCGTCTTGGCGCCCTCTTGGGCCGACTTGGGCGCCTCTTGGGGGCCTCTTGGGCCGTCTTGGGGCGGTCTTGGGGTGCTCTTGGCCCGTCTTCAACGCCGTAAAGGCCGACAAGTCGTATATGATGAACATGTACGTTTTCCCATAGGAATTTGATGATTTTCGGCCTTTCGGCCCTTCTCAGGACTGTTCTTGGAGGCCTCTTGGGCCGTCTTGGAGGCCTCTTGGCTCGTCTTGGGGCCATCTTCGGCGTCTTGGAGCGCTCGTTTGGGCCGTCTTGGGGCGGAAGGCTCGGTTTGTCGGTTCAAGCTCCCCCTCTTGGGCCCCTCTTGGGGCCGTCTTGGGGCCCTCTTGGGCCGTCTTGGGGGCCTCTTGGGCCGTCTTGGCGCCCTCTTGGGCCGACTTGGGCGCCTCTTGGGGGCCTCTTGGGCCGTCTTGGGGCGGTCTTGGGGTGCTCTTGGCCCGTCTTCAACGCCGTAAAGGCCGACAAGTCGTATATGACGAAAATGTACGTTTTTCCATAGGAATGTGATGATTTTCGGCTCTTCGGCCCTTCTGAGGACTGTTCTTGGAGGCCTCTTGGGCCGTCTTGGAGGCCTCTTGGCTCGTCTTGGGGCCATCTTCGGCGTCTTGGAGCGCTCGTTTGGCGTCTCGGGGCCCTCGTGGGCCGTGTGGGAGACGTCTTGGGGCCTTCTTGGCCTGTCTTGAGCCCCATCTGGGCCCAAAAGAGGCCCGTGAGTCGCTCGGCGTCTGCCCGGGTTGGGGGGGGGTCGAATCGCCGGTTTGGGGTCCCGTGGGGGGGTACTATGGGGGGGGAACTATCTCACACGCCTAGAGACCCACAAGGGGTCGGCGGATTTGCCCTTTTGTCCGTCGAACCCACGCACAATGCCACGTCTTTTTGGTAGATTCGACGAGGAACTCGAGTTTGGGGTACATCGATTCTCTAGTCGATCCCCTGCTCGAACTGTGCCGTCGCCGCGTCGCCGCGCCTTTCTAGGCTGCTTGTGGCCTCTCGACTTCGCTCCGCTTCGGTTTCGCCGCCTGCTCGCTCGTTCTTGTTCGGCTCCGCCGCCGCCGTGCGCTGCCCTGGAGGAGCGGGCGGCGAACGCCAGCGCCCCGAACGGCACCGGCAGCCTCGAGCTGGCGCCGGCGCCGGCGCAGGCGCGAGGCACGGCCTGCCGCCCGACCTTTGCGGAGCTCCGGGCGGCGTGCCACCGCTTGCCGCGCGGCCAGGGGGCGGTCGCGTTCCCGGCCCCGTGGCTCGGCTGCCGGAGAAGAGACGACAACGGCAGGGGCACGGCCTCTTCGGAGCTCCGCACGGCGATTCCTCGGGTCGGTGCCGAGGCCCCCTGGCGGCGCGCCTCGGGCGCCGCCCCTGGCGCGCCTCTCGCGCGCCAGGGAGGGGGCGGGACGAGACAGCGCAGATCCAAGACATCCGTGCGGACCTCCAGAAGTTTCTGTCTGTGCAGCTTTTTCCTCTCCCATAGGCTGGGTGCCCTGCGACCCGGACCTGAGCTGCAGGGAGGGGACTCTCAGGTTTCGGCTGCACGTGCGGGTGGCCCTTCGCCAGGGTGACCTCTGGTGCGGGCCCACCGGGGCCCCCCGGTCGCTGATTCGGACGCGATAGCCTCGGCCTTCGCGGTTCTGGGTTTGCCACCCCCCCGCACCCCGAGATCCCGACGTCTCGGACAACTTGCAGCAATGGCGCCCATCAATCGCGACCAGAGCCGGGGGCCTCGCCATGCTCCGAGTTGGATCGATCTGGGAGGGTCCCGGGGCCCGAGGCTGGGTGAACGCGCCCGTTGTGGGAAATTTGCGTCGCGGGGGGGGGTTGGGGAGGAGGAGGAGGAGAAGGAGGAGGTCCCCCTTTTGGCCGCGCACCAGAGGCCACTCTTGCCCATGTCTGGGCCTCCCAGATGGGGTCCGAGTAGATGGTGCCGGAGGATCGCGCCGCATCGCCAATGGATCCTGCGATGCGGCTCGATGTGAAGCCCGACTTTCTCCACGTCCACATCGCCGATGCATCGCCGACGGCGGCGATGCGTCGCAGATGCATCGCCGATGCAGCGTGATCTTTCGACACCACCTGTTCGGACCCATTTGGGAGGCCTCTACTACAGGGCCACTGTCTCGCGTGTGCAGCCAACAGGTTCGCGAAGGAGCTCCTCGCGGCCGGTCTGCTGGTGCTCGCGCTGCTGCCATTCCTGTGGTGCTGGGGCGGGGCCAGAAACGGGATAAACCGTTCCAGAGCGTTCGATCTTCGATCCTCGATCCTCGATCCTCGAACCTTTAGCCTCGATCCTCGAGCCTCGAGCCTCGATCCTCGAGCCTCGATCCTCGAGCCTTGAGCCTCGATCTTCGATCCTCCAACCTCGATCCTCGAGCCTCGAGCCTGGATCCTCGAGCCTCGATCGTCGACCAGTAGCGTCCAATTAAGGTCAGACGGGCCCAGGAGCTAGATAAACCGCTCCAGAGCGTTCCAGAACGCTCTCGGAGCCTTTCGGAGGGCTCTGGAACGGCCGCGGCGCCCGATACAGCCTCCAGAGCCGCCAGATCTCAGAGAGCCCCCGCTGTGTCTCCAGTCCCACTCTGTCCCGGTCCTTGCTTCGTCTTATCGTTGCGTCATTTCCAATCCCGAAACGAGAATCTTTGTCGGTTTTGGAGGTCGCCGCGGCGATCGCGGCAGCCACAAATCGGGTCAAGGTCTTTGTCAAGGAGCGGCATGCCCCTTCCCAGGCCCCCCCGCTCTGCGTTGTGCACGTGGCTCCTCAGTAGCAATGCAGCAGCAGAGAGTTGCCAATGCGTGTCCACAGTCGTGCTTTTGTTGGTTCTGGGCCGATGATCACGCAACCATCCCAGGTGCGCCCTCCGCGCCCAGCTCCGCAGGGAGGAGAAGCGCATCTTCGGCGCCTCGGGCGACGAGGCCAACGAGCCGCCGGGCTGCTGCTCCTGCTGGCCGACGCGGGGCTCCAGCGCGGCGAACAGCAGCGCCCAGAGCCCGTCGCGGGGCAGCTCCACGTCCTCCGGCGCGTCCGCGCCGCCCGCGACCCAGGCCGTGCCTTCGGGTGCTGCCAGGGTCAGGAGGAGGAGAAGGTACCGGTGCCGCAGCTCGTTCTGGAGAGCCTTCTTGGCCACGGCGGGATTCTCCTCGCAATTCTGGGCATGAATCTTACAGTGTGATTATGCTCGGCGGCGGGCGCTGTCTGGAGTCGAGGAAGAAGACGAATAATAATAATACTACTAGTAATAATACTAATACTAATACTAATACTTATATTAATACTAATACTAATACTAATACTAATAATAATAGTAGTAATACGAATAATAATAATGATACTAATACTAATCATAATTATTATACTATTACTATTACTAATACTAATACTAATACTAATACTAATACTAATACTAATACTAATACTAATACTAATACTAATACTAATACTAATACTAATACTAATACTAATACTAATACTAATACTAATACTAATACTAATACTAATACTAATACTAATACTAATACTAATACTAATACTAATACTAATACTAATACTAATACTAATACTAATACTAATACTAATACTAATACTAATACTAATACTAATACTAATACTAATACTAATACTAATACTAATACTAATACTAATACTAATACTAATACTAGTACTAATACTAATACTAATACTAATACTAGTACTAATGCTAATACGAATACTAATACTACTAATGCTAATAATAATAATACTAATAATAATGACAATAATAATAATGCTACTACTAATAATAATAATCATCATAATAATAATACTAATAATAGTAATAGTAATAACAATAACAATAATAATAATCATAAGTAACGGCATAAGCATAAACTTTCGGAGCTCCGCGCGGATTCCTTGGATCTGCACTGGGGCACCTGGGGTTCAGCGCAGATCCAAGAAACCCGCGCGGACCTCCGAACGTTAACGTTTTTGCTGTTTTCTGTTCGTAAAGCCTGGCCACACGGCCTGGGTAACGACATACTATCCAGTTGCGCTGCCGCGCATATCCGCCACCGCGCTTTGGGAAGCTGCGCTGCCAGGCGGCAGCGATGCGTGGGCTTGGCGTTGTAGGCATCTTGGAGGCAGTTTTTCGGCTGCTTGAAGGGCGCCTTGGTGGCAACTTGGAGGCCTCTCGGGGGCGTGTTGGAGGCAACTTGGAGGCCCCTCGGGGGCGTGGAGGCATTGTTTTGCCTCTTGGGGGTCTCCCGGGAGCGCCTTGGGCGCTTCTTGGCGCCTTGTGGGGCCCTTTGGGGGCGTCTTGGGGGCCTCTGAGGGCCTCCTGAGGGCGTCTTTGGGCCGAAGGCTCGATATCTCAAATCTGATTCACCCATCCGGGCCCCCTCTTGGCCCGTCCTGGGACCCTCTTGGGCCGTCTTGGGGGCATCTTGGGCCGTCTTGGAGCTTGCTTGGGCTGTGTTGGAGCGCTCTTCGGGGTCCCTTGGGCCGTCTCCGGGCGATCTTGGTGGCCTCGGGGGCCGTCTTGGACGCTATGAAAGCCCAACAGGCGTATCTGCTAAAAATGTACGTTTTCCGATGGGAATGGGATGATTTTTCCCTCCTTGGCTCTCTCGGGAGTCTCTTAATGGCCTTTTGGGGCGTTTTGGAGGTTTTTGGAGCCGTCTTGGGGCCATCTTGGGCGTGTTGGCGCGATCCTTGGACCGTCTTGGGGCTCTCTTCGGGGCCTTCTGGGTCAGCTTTGGTGCCTTTGAGGCCCGTTGTGGCCACGGGCTGCACGGGCGGGAGAGGGCTGGGGACAGGGGACGTGCCACTGAAGGTCCCTCCCGTTAACTCGTATTTGAGGCCATTTTCTGACTGGAGCGCCAAAAGCGCAGGGACTTGTTGGCCCAACGGAAGGCATCTTGGGCTCGATGCGTTGGGGGGCCTTACTTAAAGGAGCGAAGGGCCCGTCACAGAACAACCGCTACAAGCGCGGTGGCTGATACAGTCTTGCAAAGTGTCGACATGGCCTTCCAAGGCCCTTGCATCCTTGCCGCGCATCCTTATGATACGGGTTGACTGTATCATGTTTGTGCTACCTCTTCGGTTCGGACGCGCGCCTCCAAGGGGGGGAGCCGCACAGTTCCCGTCTCAGACGTCCAGCCGCTCCACTTTTTCCGATGCGCGGACCCCCGGAGTTCTGGACCACTTCTCCAGGGCCAGATTTTTAGCAGTTTTTCAGGGCTCCAGAGACGGGGGTCAACGCAAGCGGGGGCCAGTCCGAGCGACGGATCCTGCAAGTGCAGAGCCAGGGGTGCATAGACCTGGGTTTGGGTGCAGGATCCTGAAGGATCCTCCAGGATTTTGCAGGATCCTGCACGGCCTGACTGACCAGGGTCTGGATTGACCCAGGTCAGAGGATCCTCGATTTTTGAGGGTCCCTGGGCCCGTTGAGGGCCCTTGGAGACCGAAAACGGCCTTACACCGGCCGCTCCATTTTTTTTTGGGAGCTTCGGATCTCGGGGGTATGTTTTTCCCGCGTCCCATTCAGTCCCCCCGCCGTCCGACAGTTGGGTGTTTGATCATGGGGCCCCTTGCTGAACGCAACCATCCAGCAGTCGCACCCAAGACCAGCAGCGCCCGCCGAAGACCGCCCAGAACCGCCGAAGATCGCCAGAAAGACCACCGAAGACCGCCGAAGACTACCCGAGGCCCGAGGCCTAGGGGGAACAAGGGGTCCCTTGCCGAATGCGTAGCCTTCGCCGCGAGCGCCCGTCGCCCTCGTCGTCGTCGGCGTCGCCGTCGCCGTCGGCGTCGCCGTCGCCGTCGCCGTCGTCGTCGTCGTCGTCGTCGTCGTCGTCGTCGTCGTCGTCGTCGTCGTGGTGGTCGTCATGGTGGTCGTCATGGTGTTCGTCGTTGTCGTCGTTGTTGTCGTCGTCCACCTCCTCCTCCTCCTCCTCCTCCTTCCTCGTCAGCGATTCTGCCCTGTCTCGTTCGACTTGGGGGCGGGGGGAGGTTGGGGGGGCGGGACGAAGTGCTCAAAGCTTTCGGGCTTACGGTCGAGGACCGCCCGCGAGTGCTCGCGATGGGTCGGCAAGCGATCCAGCGATCATCGGCCACCTCTGAGGACCCCGACTCTGAGCAGGGTTCGGACGATGGTGGCTGGCTTCTTCTTTGGACTGCCTCCTTGGGCCCAACAAAGCCAAGCCGAGGAGGATGATGAGGAGGAGGAGGGGCATGATGATGATGATGATGATGATGATGATGATGATGATGATGATGATGATGATGATGATGATGATGATGATGATGATGATGATGATGATGATGATGATGATGATGATGATGATGATGATGATGATGATGATGATGATGATGATGATGATGATGATGATGATGATGATGATGATGATGATGATGATGATGATGATGATGATGAGGAGGAGGAGGAGGAGGAGGAGGAGGAGGAGGAGGGGCATGGATGATGATGATGATGATGATGATGATGATGATGATGATGATGAGGATGATGAGGATGATGAGGATGATGAGGATGATGAGGATGGTGGTGGTGGTGGTGATGATGATGATGATGATGATGATGCTGATGATGATGATGCTGAGGAGGAGGAGGAGGAGCATCAGTGTAAATCCAAGAGTCATCAACGATGTTTGAGTAAACCCTCCCTCCAAGCTCCCTCTTCATAGGCCCCTACAACGGTTCATTTCCATTGATGGAACTGCCTCGTTGGAAAACACCCGTGTGAATACTCTGAAGCATGCCAAAACATTGTTCTCGGGATTCCAACGCCACGGATCAACCTGACTGTTGCGTCTTGACGATCCGGCATCGTGCCAGAACGCGATTCTTAGGACTTCAACAGAGAATCAACGTAACTGTTGCACCCGCATAGTCCTTAATCCTTCAAAAAACAATTTCTGGTACGTTGATAATGGGAGCCCGTGAAACTCTTGGAAATTGTGTAAACGGGTATGCGCGGCGCTACGGCGAGAGCCACATTTTGAAAACGACCCGCCCTCAATCCGTGAAACCCTTGCAAATTCTGAAAACGAATGTGCTCGGCGCTAAGGCGAGAGCCACATTTTGAAAACGACCCGCCCTCAATCCGTGAAGCTCTTTGTAAATTCTTGAAACGAATGTGCGCGGCGCTAAGGCGAGAGCCACATTTTGAAAACGACCCGCCCTCAATCCGTGAAACTCTTTGCAAATTCTTTAAACGAATGTGCGCCGCGCTATGGCGAGAGCCACATTAAAAAAAAACGACCCGCCGTCCATCTGTGAAATTGTTGCCAATTTCTTAGGCTTCAGAATCATACATGGGGAGGAAGTCTCAGGCGGAACGCCCGGCCCGCCCTAAAAACTGGCCTCGGGGTGCGGCAGGGGAAATTTTTGTACGGAGAAGGAATGGAGGTGGAGGAGGAGGAGGAGGAGGCGGAGGAGGAGGAGGAGGAGGAGGAGGAGGAGGAGGAGCGCGGCCGTCGTCGTCGTCGTCGTCGTCGTCGTCGTCGTCGTCGTCGCACCCCCGCCGCCCGACAGGCGCGGGGCCCGACCTTCGGCACCGCCAGGAAGAGCACCGGGGGCCTCTTCGCCAAGAGCACCGGGGGCCCGGCCTTCGGCGCGGGCGGGGGCGGGCCGCGCAGCAGCGCCTCCACCGGCCCGAGCTGGGGGCAGCGGAGACAGCGCCCGTAGGCTCCGCGGCGAGGGTGGGCGCTGGAGCTGGCTGGGGATAGAAGGATAGGGGGACAGGCATATGCATAGGCATAGGCATAGGCATTGGCATAGGCATAGGCGTAGGAATCGGCATAGGCATGGGCATAGGCATGGGCATAGGCATAGGCATAGGCATAGGCATAGGCATGGGCATAGGCATAGGCATAGGCATGGGCATAGGCATAGGCATAGGCATAGGCATGGGCATAGGCATAGGCATGGGCATAGGCATGGGCATGGTGATAGGCATAGGCATGGGTATGGGCATAGGCATAGGCATAGGCATAGGCACGGACATGGGCATAGGCACGGGCATAGGCATGGGCATAGGCATGGGAATAGGCGTGGGCATAGGCATAGGGGGGGCATACCTCGACCCCCAATCGCCCATTCATCGCCGATAGGGGCCCGATAGCCCCAACCTGTCCAGGAAGGTGCGGATTCACCATCGGAGGCCTATCGCCGATCTCTCGGCGATATATCGCCGATGCTCGGTCGAAGTGTCCCCCCCTATGCCAGGTCCCCCCCCTCGTTGTCCCTCAGCCTCTCAGACGGCGGCGGGGCTTCTCAGAAGCCCTCGGGCCTTCTGAGAAATTTTCAGTGTCTTCCAGGAAGACCTAAAGCACTTTTCAGAATGGCCGAATTTTGTGAAATTCTAGACGCTTCGCGTAACCCCACCAGGCTCTCGCCAGGTTGGGTGCATGTGTACTTCTGCACTGCGGCACACCATATTTTTGGTCTCCTGCGTGCAGACGCATCCCTCAGCAGCTGTTCCGAGGTGGCCTAGCTGTCTATGACCCCTGGCCTACTCTGTCAGCCGTCGGGTGCGTTTTCTGAAGCTGCGACGGTTCGCTGGCGCTGTCAGAAATTCCCCTCCTCGCTGGACGACGTCAGTTACACCTTTGGTCTGCTCATACCCAACAGACACCCTGGGCTGACACCTTCTTGCACGGAGACTGGTTCCCACCACCATGCGATCGTCGGTCCGACACGATCCATGACTGGGGATGCGCAGCGCGCCATTTTGGCCGCGTCCACCTTGCCCCCTGGGTGACTGACCCCTCAGACTCCCTGGGTTGCAGCTTGCACTGCCGCCTGGCCTCTCAGACGCCCTGGGTTGATGCTTGCTTGCCGCCTGATCCGCGGCCCCCGCGCGCGCCCAGGTAATTCGTCACGGCCGCAGCCCGACCGTGACCTCCCGCCGCCGGCGCTTCCGCCTGCGGTTGTAAAAAAAAAAGTAACCCCACCAGGCCCTGTGCCCCAGCCGAGACCGTCCCGCTCCCTGGAGCTGTCCTTGGAACCGCCAATCAAGTAACCCCACCAGTCAGCCCCCCGCCGCCGCTGCCGCAGATGCTGCCTCTGAGGGCTGGCCCGGCCGGGTCGCGCTGCGCTTTGTAGCTAATTAGGCTTGCCCGTTGGCCCGGACACCCTTCTCGCCGCCTGCGCTTTCGCTTGCGGCTGCGACCAAAAAAGTACCCCACCAGTCCACAGCTCGGATCCCCGTACTGGCTCCACGGTTCCGCGGTGCCTTCGCGCCATTTCGGCCGCGCTGCAGCTTGACTGCTCTTCGCACCCTTGCGTGCTGCTGCTGTTGGACCTCCCGGCCTCGGCCACCCTGGTACCTCGCAGCTTGCCGATGTACATGCCCTGTCTGGGCACCCATTTTGACTTCCGACCGTCGGTTTACTTGGCTGCGGCCACCCTGGTACTTTCGCAGCAGTCCGGGGGCTTGCGCCCTTGCACCTAATTACCGTCTGCAGCTTTCCCTGGTTGCCGGTTGCCCTGGCCGCCCGCCGCTTCCGACTCGTTGCACGTGACTTGGCAGTATTGGTGACCCGCCTACCGCCTGTTCTTCACTCGACGGCCAGCCGTTGAGGTGCTGCGTGAGGCTCTGGCCCGCCGCTTTAGGTTAATTCGTCTGTGCGCGCCCCGCTCTGACTGGACTCGCCGCTGGCGCGCTCGCCTGCGGCCGCTGACAAAAAGTCGCCCCACCAGTCCGTAGCCATTTGGCTCAAGCCGTCTCCTGGGCCTGGTGCGGTATTCGCTTACCAGTCTCCCAGGTTCAAGGGGGCGCCCGACGCATCGCTGGGCGGGCGCCGCCTCCCTCGGGCCGCGGGCGGCCATATCCCAGCGCGGCTCGCGGCGCAGTCCCTGGCGAGGCGCAGCGCCAGCCTGCCAGGTCAGGCTTAGCTTTATGGAGGAAGGGACCTCGGATCGTGGGGGAAGATGGGGCGGGGGTATGAGCCTTGTGCAGGACCTGGGGGTCGAAGCGCAGGCAGCAGCCATCTCTCCCCTTACAAACACCCCGTCCCAGATCCCTCCTGGGCAACCCTTGCCGCCAGGCCCCGAAGCAGAACCGACCGGCCTCATGGCGATCAATCCTATGCCGGATCCGCCGATCGATCCCGCAGCTCCTGGTGAAAGGAATGACAAGTCGGCCTTCAGCCGAGGAGACGATGGGGTCCACAGTAGAGGCCTGGCAGATGCAAGTGAAGAAGCGACCTTCAGTCGCAATCCTGGTTGCTCTATGGAGGAAGGGACCTCGGATCGTGGCGCCGATCATCCTGGGGGAAAACAGGGCGGGGGTATGAGCCTAGCGCAGGACCTGGGGGTCCTCGGCGCTCCCCCGCGCATCTCTTCGCGAGACCTCTGGGGCGTCCGGGGTGTCTCACCGCCGTGTCCGCTCCCCGCGGCCTTCGCCCAGCTGTCGTCGCACTTGCGCCGCTCGTGTTTCTCCTTTGCCGCGTGGCTGTCGCGGGCCTCCCGGGCCCCCGCGTGCCCTCTGCTGCCCCCCGCCCTGGTTTCCCGGGCCCCGCGCGCGAGGTCGCGTGGGGGCCCCCTCGGCCCAGGGCGCCGGTCTGCTGGCCTCCCCTCCGTGGGGCTCTCCCCGGCGGCTCTCTGTTGGGGCGGCCCTCGTCGCCTGCCTCCCCCGCGGCCCTTCCGCGGCCGTTCTGGCTCTGCGCCCGATGCCGCCCGGCGCGCGCTCTGCTGGGGTCGTCGGTGTCTGTCCGGGCTTTCAGCACGTCTCCGTCATTGGGCCCTCTTGCGGCCCCTCGCTTCTCGGTGCCGGGCCGCCCCCCTGCGCTTGCCCTGCGGGAGGCGCTCGGGGCTCCTTCGCTCTACCCCCTGTTGGCCTGGGGCCCGCGGCATCCAGGCTCGCTGCCTCGGCTGGCCCTTCCCGGCGCCCTGCTCGGGGGCCTTCGCCGTGCTCGCGGGCCCCCCCCGCCTCCTCGCGGGCTGTCAGTGCGGGCCGTTCTCTCTGCTATTCCCCGCGCGGGGTCGACGGACTCCTGGTCTTCCCCGCCGTGCCTGCCCTTCCCCGTCAGTCCCCAGGCTGAGCCCTCTCGCCACCTTGGTGGCTCGGGCTGCCGGTCCCCGCCTGGTGGCACCCATGACATCTTCCCGGTGTCTTGCGATCTGGACTTGCTCCGTTGAGCGCCCGCATGACTGGCGACTTCCCCCGAAGCGTTGACCTTGCTGTCTTGCGTTCCGCGGTCTGGCGGCTCGGCTTGGACTCGCTGCTCGTCTCGCTGACGGTCTTCGACGTGGACGTGGAGTTGGTTTCGAATCCTACCATTTTGTTGATGCACTTCGCCCGGAAAGACTTCCTGGTGTGCGCTTTCCTGTGAGCGGCGGCGAGGCTCGCCTCCTGTTTGCCCCCCTCGCGCTTGGTCTTCCTTTTTCTTTTCGCCCTTCCTCTTCCTTTGCGTTAATTCAGGCCGTTGCTAATCTGCGCCGCCCCCTGACGCCGCCCGACCTCTCGCCGCGGTCGCGATCGAAAAGTAACCCCGCCAGCCCGTCCAGAAACGACGTTCAGAGGAATTGCCTCGATCAGCGAAGTGGCCAGCGCGCAGCCACTGGAGGCCTCCTCTTGGAGCGTCTTGGGGGCCTCTTGGCGGTCCCGGATGCCTCTTGGAGATTCCTGGGTGCCTCGGAGAGCTTAATTGGGGCCTCTTGGGGGTCTCTTGGGAGCTTCTTGGAGGCCTCTTGGGCGCCTGTTGGGGCCTCCTGGGGCCTCCTGGGCGCCTCTTTGGGCCTTCTTGAAGCGCTCTTGGAAGCCTTGGGAGCGTTCTCGGAGCCCTCTTGGGCCATCTTGGAGCCATCTCGAGGCCTCGGATGGCCGTCGGAAGCGAACAGGCGAGAATGCCAAACACAGTTTTTTTGGTTCCTCATCGCAGAGTTTTTGGTCGAGGCCTCCTGGGGGAGCTCTTTGGCCGCTTGGAGCCGTCTTGGAGCGGTCTTGGGGCCTCTTGGGGCATCGTGGGGGCCACCATGCGGCATCTTGGGATATCTTGAGCCATCTTGGAGGTCATCTTGGGCTCCAGGAGGCCCAAATGTGGCCAATGCCTGAGTCAAATCAATGGTTTTGGCATTGTCGCCGAGGCCTCTCGGGGCGTCTTGGTTGCTTCCGGGGGGCCTCTTGGGGCTTCTTGGGGGTCTCCTGGGGGCCTCTTGGGGGCGTCCTGGGGGCGCCTTGGGGGCATCCTGGGGGCCTCTTAGGGGGCCTCTTGGGGCCCTCTTGGGGCGCCCCTGGGCGCCTTGGGGGCGCTCTTGGGGCCATTTCGGAGGGGCCCGATCAAGCGAGAGGGGGGCTTGGATTGCGACCCCCCCCCCATCCGGGAAAAAAAAAGAGGCCAAAATGGGGCCAGCGCCTAGTTGCGACAAATGATTATGGCTTCCTCGCCGAGGCCGTCCTGGGCGCCCCAACCCCTCGCGGGCGCCCCCGTCCAGGTCCAGGGGGGGGTGGTGGGGTGGTGGGGGTGGGGGGTGTGGTGGGGTGTGTGTGTGTGTGTGTGTGTGTGTGTGTGTGTGTGTGTGTGTGTGTGGGTGGTGGGTGTGTGGGTGTGTGGGTGGGTGGGTGGGTGGGTGGTGGGTGGGTGGTGGGTGGGGTGGGTGGGGTGGTGGGTGGGTGGGTGGGTGGGTGGGTGGGGTGGGTGGGTGGGTGGGGGGTGGGGGTGGGTGGGTGGGTGGGTGGGTGGGTGGGTGGGTGGGTGGGTGGGGTGGTGGTGGTGGTGGGT